TCGCTGTTCAAGGCAGTCTGTCCAGGGTTCGTTGTTGCATTTGGTGGGAGAAACAGAGTAGAGTATGCTGACGCCATCTGGCCCAGAACAAAAATTCCACCGTATGTGTCTTAATCTAACACTGTAAATGGTTAATAAACTTTGCCTTCAACGACAGGCACAGTGACCAATGCTAATTGGCAGGATTGCCTCCAATAGCTGTGTTCTTCCTGCTGGACTGAGACTCCTGGGCCGAGGCAGGCACTGCTGTCATGGTTCACCCCTGAGGCCAAGCTACTTGAAGCAGCTCCTGCCTTCTCAGGTCCCGGTTCCTGCCTTCATCTTCCTACTCCCCCGACCCAACACAGTCCAGGCGCCAAGTAAGGGGGCGCATCTCAGAGCATGCCTGAGCCATGACGGAAGCACCGGGAGGAGTCGGAGCCTGGAATGTCTGACTGAGCAGTTTGGAAATGACTCAAGTAAGGAAGCTCCTGAAGGTTTCCAAGGAGCAACATCATATATTAAAATAATAACTAACATTTGTCCAGCCATGTACTATGCTATGTGCTTTCATATACATTATTGTATATACATTATTACATTACATTTTCTGATATGGTTTGGATTTGTGTCCCCACCCAAATCTAATATCAAACTAATCCTCAGTGTTGGAGGAAGGGCCTGGTGGGAAGTGATTGGATCATCGGGGCAGCCATCCCGCTGGCTATCCTCATGACGGCGGATGAGTTCTCATGAGATCTGGTTGTTTATAAGTGTGTAGCACTTCCCACTTTGCTCTTTGTCTCCTTCCTGCCACTTTGTGAACATGTGCCTGCTTCCCCTTCACTTTCCACCATAATTGTAAGTTTCCTGAAGCTTCCCGGCCATACTTCTTATACAGCTGGCAGGACTGTGAGTCAATCAAACCTCTTTTCTTCATAAATTACCCAGTCTCATGTAGTTCCTTACAGCAAGGTGAGAACAGGTGAATACATCTTCCCAATAGGTTGCAAGAGAGATAGTGTTTTTCATTTGCAGATGAGGAAACTACTTTTACCTGGAAGTGACATGTTACTACGTCCAAGGGTCAGGAAAGTGGCATCCTAACCTATGTTGAGGAGGAAGAGAACTGGATGAGCCCAGAAACATATAAGCTTGTGACCTTGGGTATTAATTCTCTCTTCTGCAAAAAGGCAATAGGTGTGGTGCCCACGCTGTGGTGCAGATAGGATAAGATTATGAATGTAGCATGCTCAGCGTGCTGACAGCACAAAGTAGGCACTCACAAATCACCATTTTTCTTTCCCTTCTTCAGCATAGCTGAACCAGCACATATAGTTCTACTTGAATCTCCAGGGACTGTCAGCTCTCCTGGACCAGACTCCACTTGTAGTGATAATTGGATGCTTATTATCACCCAGAGATCTGGCTTGACGTTATTTTGCACTTTACTGAGAAAAAACAAGTAGCTACGCTTGGTGGCAGTCAGTTGGCCAACACGTTAAAATGAGTTTGCACAACCCCACTCCTTTACCTGTGGTCACGTGTTTAAAGACCTCATCTCACCTATTTAATCAATTCCATTAAAATTTTTTTCTCTCAATTTCTGGGAAGATGCAGAATAAAAAGGCACTATGTATTCATCTCCAGCATTTTCACTTAATGTGTGAGGTCACAGTTAAAAGCAGCTACCATGCATTTGGTCAAGAGTTCAGGGACAATCTGCTTCAGGGCAGCAGGGAGCAGAAATGTCTCCATTTAAGACATGGGCGCCAGTGACTAGGTCAGTGATTTTCCACTGGCTTCAGTGAGAGCCCTGACAGGGAAAGGGGTAAGAGCAAAGGGAGAGGAGACTGTGGAAGGGAACGGAGCTAGGCAACTGCCTTGTGGAGACACGGGGACCGCCAGCCGATTGTCTTGGACTTGCCTATGCCAGAAATGGACTAAAGTGGGAGGAATATCATAGCAAGGTGGGACTGGGTGGCACGTGGGGGGAGCAGGGAACCAGAGGAATCCTGTTCTTAACAGGCGCTTGCTACTGGCCAGTTGTTTAACGTGTTTGACTGGGCCTTGATTTCTTTATCTACCAAGTGGGCAAAAAAATACCCATGTCATATGATTGCGGGGAGAGCGAATGAGATAACGTATGCGGCACAGCCATGGAGAATGGAGCCCAGGGCGTGCTCAATAGTGGTACTTTCCCCTTTCCAACCCAGATGTCAGAGGGGACCATCTGCCCTCGAAGATCTAGAGGAGAGGATCCCCACCCCACCAGTGCCCAACTTCCGATTTTGGTGAAGCCTCAGGCATAATACTTCTTGATTCCACTCCACTCTGCTTTCCTCAATTAGGTTGTTGACCTCAGCTTCAAGACACACACACAAGACTGAACACTCACACTCTTATACACTCACACACACATACATGCTTACATACATACACACTCATAAACATACATACCACTCACACTCGTACATCCACAATCTCACACACATTCTTACGTGCAATACACACACAACTACATAGCTGACCTATGTTCACGGAAATAATATTGTTCAGCACATTGTGTATACTGTATTCTAGGAAACGTCTTTTTATTTATTTTATTTTTATTTATTTATTTATTTTTTTTTTTTTTTTAATTTTTTATTGGATTATAGGTTTTGGGGTACATGAGCAGAGCATGCAAGACAGTTGCGTAGGTACACACACGGCAGTGTGCTTTGCTTTTCTTCTCCCCTTCACCCACATTTGGCATTTCTCCCCAGGCTATCCCTCCCCACCTCCCCCTCCCACTGGCCCTCCCCTTTTCCCCCCAATAGACCCCAGTGTTTAGTACTCCCCTTTCTGTGTCCATGTGTTCTCATTTTTCATCACCCACCTATGAGTGAGAATATGCGGTGTTTCATTTTCTGTTCTTGTGTCAGTTTGCTGAGGATGATGTCATGGAATATTATGCAGCAATCAGAAATGAGTTCGTGTCGTTTGTAGGGACATGGATGAATCTGGAAAACATCATCCTCAGGAAACGTCTTTTTAAAAAGTATCTTAAACTCAGGTTTCTGTCATTATCCTGTTATAAACACTTCCGTTTACAGATTAAACTCTTAACAACACAGGACATCAGTAATGATAAGCATCCTCTTTTGAACATTTGTCTGTGAACACTTCGCTACACACACACACGCTCACAAACACAATGCCTCCCTCACACGGCCTTGCATTCAAGACCTCTGTGTATGTTCCAGCTGTGCCGGAACTCGGGGGCTATGGAGATTTATGCTCTCAAAGCACAGGGTATAAACTGAGTACAGACAATCTGGTTTCTTGAAATATCGGATCTGTCCACTTGGGCTGTACTTTCTGCCACATTTCCCCTGCCTGCTGTGATCCTTTTCTCCCCTTCCTCCCCTCTTCCCTTGCTCTGCCTTTCTGGGCCCCACTAGGGTATTTTTTCTACTGTAAGTTAGTCTAGCATTTCTTTGTTGTCTTCTTCCAGCTCAAGCCCACAGGCTCTTGTTTTCTATTTCCAAAGGCTTAAGGAGGCGTTCTTCTAAACAAACGTGGCTCCTGTCCCAAGGACTTCCGGAGCAGCTGGAGAAATGCAATATGCTTGTTTTGCTCTGCTGCCTTCTCCCTGTGCAGTGTTCTGTGGCCAGGGGTGGCAGTGGCAGTGGTGTTAATACCTGGAGAGCATGCCATGCTTGTCTCCATTACTGCTAACTTCCCAGGGACCCCACCTGCACAAAATACAACCTAGAACAACAGCCTAGCTGGTGGCATAAACACAGCTGATGACATCAATCACTTCATGATGCCAATTAGCTCCACCTTCTTTCTAGAACAGGGGCGCCCATCACCACCATCAGAGGTCATTGGATGTTACCACCAACTTGGGTGACACTGAACAGATCTGGGATACCATGCCAGCTAATTTGCTGCCCACTGTCTGACCTTGGGTGAATCACTTCACCAGTCTGTGCCTCAATTTCCCAACCTTTAAAATGGGAGTGATGATACCTGTCCCCAGAGCCAAATGCACTGAGAAGAGAATATATAAAGCTAAAGTTTAGGTAGTTCTCAGTTTTAAAGAAAGACCTGCTTTTGTACCTAATTTCATCCTGGTAAATTGGTGTTCCTTTTCTTTTCTAAAGAAATTTTTTCCCTCTTATTTCAGTCTATTTGTATTAGATCATATGTGTTCCTTTTCCCAAAAGGCTCCACAAATCGTATACAATTCTGGACCCACCAAACCTGGCCTCTGTGTGGGCTGGGAGGAGGAAAGGAGGTGATCTCTGCAGATGCTCAGCCTAGGCTGTTCCGAGTGCTCCAGGCATGGAAGCCATTGCAGAGAGAGCGCCAGGACGTCTGAACCCATCCGCCGGCACCTTCTTCTCCATGTCCGCCCTAAACGGGCCTGCCAACTGGAGCGAACTTCTGCAGGACACAGTCACTCAGGCCTTGGAGCCTGCGTCCAGCTTCTCTCAGGCACAGCTGCATCCCTCCTCTTGACTCACACAGCTTGGAAGCTCACCCTAGACACAGCCAGCTTGACAGAGGCCACATTGTTCAAACCTCCTGCCAGTTCCCCTCGGTCGATACGGTGGCATCAAATGGGAGGAACCCCATATTAGTACGTTCTCACATTACTATAAAGACATACCTGAAACTTGATCATTTATAAAGAAAAGAAGTTTAATTGGCTCACGGTTCTGCAGGCTGGACAGCAAACACGGCAGCCTCTGCTTTTGGAGAGGCCTCAGGAAACTTTCAACCATGGCAGAAGGCAAAGGAGCCAGGCATCTCACATGGCAACAGCAGGAGGAAGAGAGAGACGTGGGAGGTGCCTGCATATTTTTAAACAATCAGATCTTGTGAGAACTCTATCACAAGAACACCACCAAATGGATGGTACTAAACCAGCAGTCCCCAACCTTTTTGGTACCAGGGGCCAGTTTCGTGGAAGACAATTTTTTCCACGGACTGGGTGGGTGGGTGGGTGGGGAATGGTTTTGGGATGAACTGTTTTGCCTCAGATCACCAGGCATTAGTTGCTCAACCTAGATCCTGTGCATGCACAGCTCACAATAGGCGTCAAGCTCCCGTGCGATTCTAATACCACCACGGATCTAACAAGAGGTGGGACTCAGGTGGAAATGCTCTCTCATTTGCTATTCACCTCGTGCCGTGTGGCCAGGATCCTAACATGGTAGGTACCCATCCACGGCCCGGGGGCTGGAGACCTCTGCACTAGACCCTTCATGAAGGATCCACCCCAATGATCCAATCCCCTCCCACCAGGCCCCCACCTCCAGCACTGGGGTTACAATTACACATAAGATTTGGGTGCTGACACCATCCAAATCATATCAAAGCCCCTCTCTCTGCCCCTCCACAAAGACTTTGTTATGGCCACTTGGGACCTGCCTGCTGCAGTGTTCCCGCGTTCCATTTTCTGGACCTTAGGTCCACAGAACTGGCATATGGATTCATCACCACCCTTTCTCAGAGCACACTGTCATCACTGGTCCCCATCTGACCTGCTGTGACCTAATTAGGCTTTTTGTTCCATTCTTTAACGTATTGAGGACTGCAAGATCATCACCCAGAACAAGAGCCAGGACCTTGATGGAAACCTGCAGCTAACTCCACCGTCCCCATATAACCCGTATCTTCAAATGTTTGCATTTAATTCAGAAAAGACTCCAGTTCTCCTAATAACCCACAGCTGCTGTGTACACCAGCCCCCACCCCATGTTTTCTTTCCCCCTTGGTGACATAGCTTCAAAAGAAGCACAGAGCAATCATATTAGCCACTTGACAGCACATTTGGTAAGGGCTTGGGTGGAGGATCCAGCTGAAATCAGTGATTTAAATTAGGTTTTAGAGTTTGCATTTGTTTTCTCATTCAACAAACCTCTCGTGCTCTCCTCCTATCTCTAGGCCTTGCAGGTTCCTTGAGGTTCTGAGGAAAATGATCCACAGTCTCCTGAGTCCTCCCTCCCAGCTGAGTTGGAGGCTGCCCCTGGCAGTAACCCTGGACTGTAATACAGGATCCTGGGAGGCTGGGCTGGGCTGGGCTGGGGGCTGGGTGGGTAGGAGCCTTCATGTACAACTGTGCTGATAAGTCATATCTGATGCCAGAACTGGAAGAAAAACAAAGTCACCAATGTAAAGGGGTGGGTGAAGCAGGGAGACAGAGTCATGAGAACCAGGGCTGTCCACCTGGAGTGAAGGTCAAAGCCGAGGATGAGGGTGCAGTCCAGGGGAGCTAAACTGGGGGTACTTGACCTGAATGCTTTTCTGGGCTGGGGATCCCCTGCATCTCACCGCTATTGGACATCCCTGCCCTCCCCAGACCTCGCTCCTGCACCGATGCCTCTCAGCACTGGCTCTCTTTAAAATCACCTGGGCAGCTTTATGAGAATGCCCGTGCCTGCCTCCACCCCCACGGCTTCAGGTTGGCTTGGTCCCGAGTGAAGCCCAGGCACTGTGAACATCCTCCAGGTGATCCCAGTGTGCAGCCAGCACTGAGGCTGCCCCAGAGAGTGTGGCATTGGGGCTGTCTCCATCTGCCTGGGGCTGGCCTTCATGTAATCCAGCGAGCTTGGGATATAGGAGACTCCCGAGAGGCTCAAGGTTAAAGCTGACTGAGGCCCAGTGACTCCCCACCTCTAACTCCTGTGTTTGGCTGTCTCTCAGATCTGGGAACAGTGGGGTGGCATGAGTTAGTCACTGGCAGGAGTTGGAGTCCAAAGGCCACACGCTCGTAAGGTCTCTTGAAAGTCCTCACTTCTCGGTCCCCCGGCTTGAGGGCTGACAGTTGGCACAGCCAGTCATGAGGGTCGGAGAGCTTCTTCCTTTGGGACCTGGCTCCTCCTGCTGGGCCTGGAGGGCTGGTGAGCCTCTCAGTTCTTTCTGAAAGCTGCACTTCCCCAGATGTCTGGGGCACTGGGGAGGGATTGGAAGTAGCAGTGAAGAGACAGCGATATCTTTAAAAATGAGCGTCTGGGTGGAAGAGCCCTGGGAATGCTGCGTGTGCCAGTGGGTGATCACAGCAGGGTTGTGTCTGGAACCCATGGAGGTTTCTCTGGGGCCCGCCCTGCTGCGCTGTCAGGCTGTTGGCCTGTGAGTGGAGCACCCGGCATGGATCTGCAGGGCTTTGAACAACGCCCCTCAATACCAACAGGCAAACGTGGGCATAGACTGGTGAATAAAGCAGCCAGGAAAGGATTTTGTTGATAAACAGGGTAGCCATGGGGGTGAAGATGAGGGGTTTGGGGCAGGGGTAGTGTGTCTCTGTAGAGGGATGTTTGCGACCACCAGAATGGTGTCAGCATGTGAGGAGGGGGCAAGCTGGTGACAAGATCTTGGGTAGTTGCACTCAAGGACATGGCTTGACCTGGACTTGGGTGGCTGGTGTAGGTGGTATGGTTGTGCTAGAGGCTGACTCAGTGGGGCCCGAGCATCCCTGAGGCTCACACCCACTCTTCTCTGCAGGGAATGACTGGCTCAGGGGTCCCCAGCTGGCATCTCCGACTGTCCCTCCAGAGCACCGGCTCCCTGGGCCTTCTGTTTCTCCTGTGCCATCGCTGCCATCGTGCCTCGGTGATCAGGCATCCCTGTAGCCCTCATGCTGGGCTGCCTCCAGGCTCTGGCCATCTCTCCTCTGGATCGGGGAAAGATGGAGCCTGTCCTGGGGGTGTTTTTTCTCTTAGGTCCTCTGGTTTACAAGGCTAGGTTTTTGGAGATGGTAAAATTAAAGGTCACTGTAAATATGGCCCATCTGCTTTTTGGGTTCACCAGGCCAGACCCAGTGCTTCAGGTCTCCACCATGAACTGTCGGACCGTGAGCTTCCTCAGAGAAAGCCTCTCCAAGGAGCACCCCCTGCTCTCCAATGGGAAGACACGTTTTGGCGGCCAAGTTCCCAAGGAACACAGAATTGAAGCACAATGTTATCAGCATGGAAGAGGGGGGCCCTGGGTCCATCAAAGGCAAAGAGAAATGTCTGCATGGACACTGGGCATTATCAACAACTCCCGCCACCCTCCCGCCTCCCCGCAGTCACCCATCATCCTCTGTGGAAAGGAGCTTTGTCTGGTCTGGCTGATCTGCCTTAGCCCAGCCTGTGTCAACCCCCCTTGCCCATCTTCTTTGGGGTAGCTTGGAGGTGGTGGGGAAGAAGTGGTGACACTTTTATCCAGGTGTGGTATGAGCTTAGACTTCGGTAGGTGAATTTTTCTAATCATTCCTCCTTTCCTCCTCCACCCCGGCATACACCAACTCCTTCAAAATAAACCAAATCGGGAAGAACAGCTCCCCAAATAGATCTTACCTGCTTGAAAACCCCTCACGTGTTTTCTATCATGGAAAACCCTGTTTTCTCCTCCCCCAGCACAGCCTGTATTAAAAACCTGCTCTTGATAACAAGCACTTTCAGGTTAGTCTACAGCCTAAGGTAGATCACCTCTACGAGAGTAAAGAGAAGCAGACCAGCATGGTGCATTTAACCAAAACTTTGTAAAGTCTCCTTGTGTGGTCCAGTTAAACGTATGTATGAAACACTTAGATTGCCAGCCTGGGCAACATAGAGACTGTATCTCTACAAAAATGTAAAAACTAGCCGGACGTGATGACTGGCACCTGTAGACCCAGATACTCAGGAGGCTGAAGCAGAAGGGTCTCTTGAACCCAAGAGTTTGAGACTGCATTGAGTGGTGGTGGCACCACTGCACTCCAGCCTGGGCAGGAGAGCAAGACCCTGGAAAAGAAAAGAGAAGAAGAAAGGAAAAGAAAAGGAAGAGAAAGAAAGAGAAACGCATAGATTGTGACACCTTACATTTCAGCAACCAGGACGGGCTTGATGTCAAAACACAAGAAATAGCACAGAATCTATTTCTGCCCCAAAGGACCTTTTCCAAGTTGTACTCAGCCTGGAAATTTTTGCCAACATAAATCTAAGGACAAGACATTTCTTCCCAGACATACAACACAGGTGAGACAGATGGGATGGTTGGCGTGGGGAAGCTCACAGAGCCTGGGGCTGGTTCGGGGTGCTGGGCTGCCAGCTTTGCAGAACTCACACCTCAGCATGTACATCTGCACAGACTTATTCAGTAGAATGTAATGACCAGGGCAGCTAATACTCCTGAACATAGGGCCTGGAAGTTATGACTTTGAGCAACTGTAGCCAGAGAGGAGAAGCCTCTTCTGTATTGGATTTGGAGCCTTAGGGGGGGGTGAGCCATCTAGGACAGACTGGAGGGCGACAAGGAAGTGTGGGCACAGACATCAGTGGAATAAAAGAAGACACTGACAATGGGAAGGGATGAAACATTCCCCACAGCCCCACCTGGCTAAGGTTTCACCAGCCATTAGCGTGGGGGGCCTGGGAGTGAGTAGAGAAGACACATTATATTTATTTGTCTTTGTACATTCATGTGGAAGTTGATGATTTGATGAGAGGTATATAGTTTATTCTGTAGTGTAGGATTGGCCACAGGAGTATAATTTAATTAGGGCTGCTCTGCATAATGATTTGCTTAATTTGAAGTCCATTCCTCCCCCTGGCAGGGAAGTCTCTAGGCCTCTGACGGTAAACGGGAAACTAGGTCATCTATGGATGATATAGAATGTAGACTAGCCAGGTGCAAGGATGCACACCTGTATCCCAGCTACTTGGGAGACTGAGGCAGAAGGATCACTTGAGCCCAGGAGTTCAAGGTCAGCCTGGGCACATGGTGAAACTCTCTATAAAGAAAAGAATGTAGAGCACATGAGCAATGAATGCCTACCTAGGGCTTCAGCCGGGCGTAGCTCCAGAGCCGATATGCTGTCAGGCATGCCAGACCTGTCGCTCTCCTTGTGGCCTCTGCATGGCTGCATGCGAACAGGAGAGCTGGATTTCAAACTATGAATCATTTTCAGCGTCAAGCCTAGGGTGCCAGTAATTTCACTTCTGGGCTTATTTCCCCACAGCAGAGCAGGACAGCTTGTTGTGGAGCAGGAGATCCTTGCTCCACCCACAGAGGAATATCCTAGAGACAGCTGACAGTCTGCGTTTGGGAATGCTGACAGCGCTGGCCCAAAGGAATGCTTATCTGTATATGCACTCAACAAAGAAGAGTAGAAGACGCTCAGTGAAACTCCAGGGGTACTAGGAAGGGGGTGAGGCTTATGTAAAATAGAAAACCGCAGCTGAACAAATAGCAGTAATAAGAAAAAGGTGGGTGGTGGGGAAAGAAATGGAATATTTTTGGTTACAGCTGCATTTTCATGTTAACAGTTTGTGAAATGTGGTTCAGAAAAGGGAATTGGACATGATTTAAAAGGAAACTAGTCAATAGAAAAATAGCGTGTGGGAGGTTTATAAAATAATTTTTTAAATTAATGTATTTGTTTTTCTGCTGTAACAAATTACTACAAGCTTAGTGGCTTAAAGCAAGGCTAATTTGGCCAGGTGTGGTGGCTCATGCCTGTAATCCTAGCACTTTGGGAGGCCAAAGTGGGTGGCTCACAAAATCAGAAGATCAAGAGTATCCTGGCTTACACAGTGAAACCCTGTCTCTACTAAAAAAAAAATACAAAAACATTAGCCGGGTGTGGTGGCACGTACCTGTAGTCCCAGCTACTCAGGAGGCTGAGGCAGGAGAATCACTTGAACCCAGGAGGAGGAGGTAGCAGTAAGCCGAGATCATGCCACTGCATTCCAGGCTGGGCAACAGAGTGAGACTTCATCTCAAAGAAAAAAAACACAAAAAACAAAAACCAATGCTAATTTATCCTACACTTTTGGAGGTCAGAAGTCCAAAATTGTTCTTAAAATCAAGGTGTCAGTAGGGATGTGTATTAGTCCGTTCTTGCATTGCTATAAATAAACAGCTGAGACTGGATAATTAATTTATAAAGAAAAGAGGTTTAATTGGCTCATGGCTCAGCAGGCTGTACAGGAAGTATTGCACCAGAAGTATCTGCTTCTGGGGAGGCCTCAGAAAACTTACAATCATGGCAGGAGGTAAAGGGGGAGCAGGCATCTCCCATGGTGAAAGTGGGAGCTAGAGAGAGAGGTCAGGGCGGGGGAATGCCATACTTTATAACAACCAGATCTTGAGAGAATTCACTCACTATCCCTAGGACAGCATAAAGCCATGAGGGATCAGCCCCAATGGCCCAAACACCTCCCACCAGGCCCCACCTCCAACACTGGGGATGACAATTCAACATGAGATTTGGGTGGGGGCAAATGTCCAAATTATATCATACTACCCCAGCCTCTGCCAAATCTCATGTCCTTCTCACATTGCAAAATATAATCGTGCCTTCCCAGCAGTCCCCCAAAGTCTTAAATCATTCCAGCATTAACTCAGAAATCCCAAGGCCAAGTCCAAAGTCTTATCTGAAGATGTGTCCCTTCCACCTATGAGCCTGTAAAATCAAATAAGTTATTTACTTCCAATATAAAATGGGGGTACAGGTGTTTGATAAGCATTCCAATTCCAAAAGGGAGAAATTGGCCAAAAGAAAGGGGTTACAGACCCCATGAAGGTTTGAAACCCAGCAGGGCAGTCATTAAACCTTAAAGCTCCAAAATAATACTTGACTCCATGCTCCACATTCAAGGAACACTGGTGCAAGGGGTAGGCTCCCAAGGCCTTGGGCAGCTAGCTCCTATGGCTTTGCAGGGTTCAATGCCTAAGGCTTCTTTCATGGGTTGGAGCATGCCTGCAGCTTTTCTAGGCACAGAGTGCAATCTTCTGGTATATCTACCATTCTGGGGTCTGGAGGATGGTGGCCCCCTTCTCACAGCTCTACTAGTCAGTGGCCCAATGGGGACTCTGTATGTGCTGCCTTAGTAGAGGTTCTCTATAAGGGCTCCACCTCTGTAGCAGGCTTCTGCCTGGACACCCAGATTTTCTCATACACTCCCTGAAATCTAGGTGGAGGACGCCAAGCCTCTTTTACTCTTGCACTCTGCACAGCCACAGGCTTAATGTCTTGTGGGAGCAGCCAAGGCTTACAGCTTGCACCCTCTGAAATGGTAGCCTGAGCTGTACTTGGTCCCCTTTGAGCCATGGCTTGAAGGGGAGCAGCTGGAATGTGGGAAACAGTGTCCCAAGGCTGGGCAGTGGGGCTCTGGGCCTGATCCAGAAGCCATTATTCCCTCCTAAGGCTCAGTGCCTGTGATGGGAAGGGCTGCCTCAGAGGTCTCTGGAATGCGTTTGAGGCCTTTTTCACACTGTCTTGGTTATCTATCAGCACCTGGCTCTTTATTAGATATTCAAATCTTGCGAGCAAATGGTTGCCCAATGGCCTGCTTGAATTCCTCTTCTGATAATGCTTTTTCTTTCTCTACCATAAGGCCAGGTTGCAAATTTTTCAGACTTTCATACTCTGCTTTCCTGTTAATTATGAATTCCAAATTGAAGTCATTTCCTTGCTTCCACATCTGGGCATCTGTTGAAAGCAGACAGGCCGCATCCTGAGTGCTTCGCTGCTTAGAAACTTCTTCTGCCAGACACGTAAATCATCACTTTCAAGTTCAAACTGTCACGGATCCCAGGACACGAACACATTGCAGCCGAGCTCTTTGCTAAGGCATAACATGCATGATCTCTGCTCCAGTTCCTGATAAGTCCCTCATTTCTGTGTGAGACTTCACCAGCCTATCTTTCACTGTCCATATTCTAACAGGATTTGATCACAACCATTTGACCAGTTTCTAAGAAATTTCAAACTTTCCCTCAGCTTCCTGTCTTCTGAGCCCTCCAAACTCCTACAACCTCTGCCCATTACCCAATTCCAAAGCCACTTCCACATTTTTACATGTTTTTATAGCAATGCCCCACTCCTCAGTACCAATTTTCCGTATTAGTCTGTTTTTGCATTGCTATAAAGAAACACATAAGACTGGGTAATTTATCAAGAAAAGAGGTTTAATTGGCTCATGGTTCTGCAGGATGTACAGGAAGCATTGTGCCAGCATCTGCTTCTGGGGAGGCCTCAGGGAGCTTCCAATCATGCCAGAAGGCAAAGCGGGAACAGGCAGGAGTGGAAGTGAGAGAGAAAGTGGGGAGAAAGAAGGTGCCACACCTTACAACAACCAGATCTCTGGAGAACTCTCTTGCTAGGAAAGCACTGAGCTGTGAGGGATCCGCCTCATGACCCAAACACCTCCCACCAGGCCCCACCTCCAACATTGAGGAGTACACCTCACCATGAGATTTGGGTGGGGACAAATAACCAAACCATATCAGGCTGTGTCACTTCTGGAGGCGCTAGGGGAGAACCCTTTTTCTGCCTTTTCTATGTTTCAGAGGCTGCTCACGTTACTTGACTCATGGCCACTTCCTCCATCTTCAAAGCCAACAGGGTAACATCTCCCAATAATTATCTCTCCTTCCATCATCAAATCTCTGACTCCTCTTCCTCCCTCTTACAAGGATTCTTGTGATTACATCAGACACATCTAGATAATTCAGGATAATCGCCGAATCTCAAGATCCCGAGTTTTGCGGGGTGCAGTGGCTCACACTTGTAATCCCAGCACTTTGGAAGTCTGAGGCAGGAGGATCACTTGAGCCCAGGAGTTCAAGACCAGCCTGGGCAACACAGTGAGACCTAGTCAACAGCAACAAAAAATTAATAATAAAATAAGAGGCCAGCTGTGGTGGCTTATGCCTATAATCCCAGCACTTTGGGAAGCTAAGGCTGGAGAAGAATTTGATCCCAGGAGTTCAAGACCTCAAGACCACCGTAGGGAACATAGTGAGACATTGTCTCTACAAAAAATTAAAATAAAATAAAATAAAATTAGCTGAGTGTCGTGGCTCACACCTGCAGTTCCAGCTACTCAGGTGGCTGGGGTGGGAGAATTTCTTGAGTCTGGGAGGTAAATAGAGCTAATCATCATGGCTCACTAGCCACGATGGCTCCACTGCACTCCAGCTTGGGTGAAAGAGTGAGACCCTGTCTCAAAAAAGAAAAAAAAAAAAGAAAAGGATCCTTAACCTAATTATATATGCAAAATTCCTTTTGTGATGTAAGGAACATATTCTAGGAACATTTGGATGGAGGAGGGAGTGATTTTTGCCACCACAACATTGTAAATGATTATCTTTTTTTAAAGACCTAATTTTGGAATAATTTTAGATTTACAGAGTCCAAAGATTTGTCTTTTTGAACCATTTTTTCATCTATGATTCCAGTTATACAAATGTTTTCAAATTAAAAATTATTTGAAAACCATCTGTGAAAGTACTTTGAGTTCTTTGGAAGAAAGATGCTGTTTAGTGCAAGTCGTTTGTGATACCACTGACCTCCTTAAGAGGAAAACCATGCAGTTTATTCCTGGGAGCCATCAGCCTCTTCTTATCCTGGGGCTGATTCCTTAGGAGGCACACCTAAGCCTCACGACCATCACTGCCCCATACAAGCAGGCGAAGTTACTTCTCTCTACCTATTGGGAAACACATTATACTCCAGAAAGTCCTTTTCTGTGTCATTTCATCCCCACTTTCCTCAGTTGTTACCTTAGGCACTTCTAGGCACTTGCCACCTGTAAGTGACCAAGCAGGTGGCAACTGGGAACCTGAGTCACCTGTGTCCCAGGCCTGTGAACCAGCCATCTTTAGGGATGCTTTCCAGATGCTTAGGGAGCACAGAGCTCTCTTTAGCCAGGTCCTGAGAACCTTCCTCTTCCTTTTGCTACTGGTTGTGGCTCTGAAATCAGAGCTAGCTCTATTAGTGATTTGAGGATACTTGTTGGCATAATGTCTTCCAAACCCAGGTGTGCACTGGAATCATCTATTGTGCTTTCTCAAAAACACACATCCTGTGAAATGTTTTATTGCACAAAAAGGCAAGGAATTACACAGAGACTGATAGGGATATGTCAAAAGGACACAACCAGCTTGAAAGCTAAATCTGGGACAACTTGAGCACGAAAATAAGTAGGGATAGTAATGAATTGTAAAGCATTGAATAAAATAAGAAGGTATGACGTCACACTTACTACCTAAACAAACAAGTGAATAAACACGCAAATGTTCTTGCTAAATAAAAGTGCATATCAGAGAGTCACCTCTTAACATAGGTCTGGAATGAGACCTATTGAGGTAGAGTTTTAGGAGGTGAATGTTTTTATTTCTATTTTCTTCTTTCTTCTTTTTTTTTAGGCAGTGTCTCATTCTGTCACCCAGTCAGGAGTTCAGTGGCATAATCATGGCTCACTGCAGCCACGACCTCCCAGGCTCAAGAAATCCTCCTGCCTCCGCCTCCTGAGTAGCTGAGACTAGAGGTGCACACCACTGTGTCTGGCTAATTTTTTAACTTTTTTGTAGAGACAGGGTCTCGCCATGTTGCCCAGGCTTGTCTCAAACTCCTGAGCTCAATCAAGCAATCCTCCCCACTAGGCCTCCCAAAGTGCTGTGATGACTGGTGTGAGCCACTGCATCTGGCCTGGATTTCTTAAAAAGCCAGTCACTGTGTCCCAGACCTGTGAACCAGCCATCTTTAGGGATGCTTTCCGGAGGCTTAGGGAGCATGTGGAGGGTTCTGGCAAGATGGCCAAATAGGAACAGCTCCAGCTTGCAGCTCCCAGTGAGATCAACACAGAAGGTGGGTAATTTCTGCATTTCCAGCTGAGGTATCTGGCTCATCTCAATGGGACTGGTAAGAGAGTGGGTGCAGCCCATAGAGGGTGAGCTGAAGCAGGGTGGGGCATTGCCTCACCTGGAAAGCATAAGGGGTTGGGGGATTCCCTCTCCTAGTAAAGGAAAGCCTGGAGGGACATTGCCATGAGGAGCAGTGCTCTCTAATCCAGATGCCATGCTTTTCCCATGGTCTTCACAACCCACAGACTAGGAGATTCCCTTAGGCGCCTACACCACCAGGGCCCTGGGTTTCAAGCCAAAACTGGGTGGCCATTTGGGCAGACACTGAGCTAGCTGTAGGAGCTTTTTTTCAATACCCCAGTGGTGTCTGGAATGCCAGTGAGACAGAAGCGTTCATTACCCTTGAAAGAAGGCTGAAGCCAGGAAGCCAAGTGGTCTAGCTCAGCAGATCCCACCCCATGCCAGCAAGCTAAGATCCACTGGCTTGAAAATCTCACTGCCAACACAGCAGTCTGAAGTCAACCTGAGATGCTTGAGTTTGATCGGAGGAGGACATCTACCATTACTGAGGCTTGAGTAGGTGGTTTTCCCCTCACAGTGTAAAAAAAGCCAGAAGTTCAGACTGGGTGAAGCCCACCTCAGAACCACAAAGTTTCTGTAGCCAGACTGCCTCTCTAGATTCCTATTCTCTGGGCAGGCCATCTCTGAAAGAAAGGCAGCAGCCCCAATTTGGGGCTTATGGATAAAACTCCCATCTCCCTGAGACAGAACAACTAGGGGAAAGGGCTTCAGCAGACTTAAACATTCCTGCCTGCTGGCTCTAAAGAGAGCAACAGATCTCCCTGCACAGTGCTCAAGCTCTACTAAGGGACGGACTGCCTTCTCAAGTGGGTCCCTGACCTCCATGCCTCCTGACTAGGAGATGCCTCCCAGCAGAGGTCAACAAATGCATCATACAGGAGAACTCCAGTTGGCATATGGCAGGTGACCCTCTGGGATGGAGCTTCCAGAGAAAAAAACAGGCAGCAATCTTTGCTGTTCTGCAGCCTCCACTGGTGATTCCCAGGCAAACAGGGTCTGGAGTGGACCTCCAGAAAACTCCAGCTGACCTGCAGCAGAGGGGCCTGATTGTTAGAAGGAAAACTAACAAACAGAAAGGAATAGCATCAACATCAACAAGAAGGGCATCCAAACAGAAACCCCATATGAAGGTCACCAACATCAAAGACCAAAGGTAGACAAATCCACAAAGATGAGGAAAAACCAGTGCAAAAAGTTTGAAAATTCCAAAAGCCAGAACACTTTTTCTACAAAGGATCACAACACCTCGCCAGCAAGGGAACAAAACTGGATGGAGAATGAGTTTGACAAATTGACAGAAGCAAACTCCTCCAAGCTAGCATCCTCCAGGGAGCATGTTCTAACCCAATGGAAGAAAACTAAGAACCTTGAAAAAAGGTTAGAGGAATTGCTACCTAGAATAACCAATTCAGAGAAGAACATAATTGACTTGATGGCGGGGGAGGTGAAAAACACAGCATGAGAACTTTGTGAAACATACACAAGCATCAATAGCTGAATTGATCAAGTGGAAGAAAGAGATTGAAATCAGAGATTGAAGATCAACTTAATGAAATAAAGCATGAAGACAAGATTAGAGAAAAAAAGAATGAAAAGGAACAAACAAAGCCTTTAAGAAATATGGGACTATGTGAAAAGACCAAACCTTTTTCTTTCTTTCTTTCTTTTTTTTTTTTTTTGGAAAGAAGAAAAGAAAGAAAAAAAGGAGTGAGGGAGAGGAAGAAAGAGGAAAAAGAAGAGGGAGAGAGAATGGGAATATTGTTTTATTCTAAAAATGGGTATTAATAATGGCCAATCAATATTTTGTGTATTTAAAGTGGAGAATGTACATTTTGTGTATTTAAAATGGAGAGCTCTATAAATATTTATTAAGTTTACTTGTTCCAGATCTGAGTTCAAGTCCTGGTTGTCCTCATCAATGTTCTGTCTCATTGAGTATAAATCTCTTTATGGGTCTTACGTATCTGGGTGTTAGGATTGTTAGCTCTTATTGTTGCATTGATCCTTTTACCACTATATCTTTGTTGCTTTGAAATATATTTTATCAGATGCGAGAATTGCAACTCCTGCTTTTTATTTATTTATTTTTGCTCTCCATTTGGTTGGTAAGTCTTTCTCAATCCCTTTGTTTTGAGTTTTTGTGTATCTTTGGATGTGAGATGGGTCTGGATGCAGCATACCATTAGGTTTTGGGTGTATCTTTTGATTGGGGGATTTAGTCAAGACCAAACCTACATTTGATTTGTGTACTTGAAAGTGACAAGGAGGATGAAACCAAGTTGGACAACAAGATATTACAAGATATTATCCAGGAGAACTTCCCCAACCTAGCAAGATAGGCCAACATTCAAATTCAGGAAATACAGAGAACACCACAAAGACACTCCTCGAGAAGAGCAACTCCAAGACACATAGTTGTCAGATTCACCAAGGTTGAAATGAAGGAAAAAATGTTAAGGGCAGCCAGAGAGAAAGGTTGGGTTACCCACAAAGGGAAGCCCAGCAGACTAACAGTGGATCTCTCTGCAGAAACCCTACAAGCCAGAAGAGAGTAGGGGCCTATATTCAACATTCTTAAAGAAAAGAATTTTCAAACCAGAATTTCATATCCAGCCAAACTAAGTTTCATAAGCACAGGAGAAATAAAATCCTTTACAGACAAGCAAATGCTGAAAGATTTTGTCGCCACCAGGCCTGCCTTACAAGAACTCCTGAAGGAAGCACTAAATATGGAAAGGAAAATCCAGTACCAGCCACTGCAAAAACACACCAAATTATAAAGACCATGGACACTATGAAGAAACTGCATCAACTAACAGGCAAAATAACCAGCTAGCATTATAATGACAGGGTCAAATTCACATATAACAATATTAACCTTAAATATAAATGGGTAAATGCCCTGATTGAAAGACACAGACTGGAAAATTGGATAAAGAGTCAAGACCTATGAGTGTGCTGTATTCAGGAGACCCAACTCATGTGCAAAGATACATATAAGCTCAAAATAAAAGGATGGAGCAATATTTATTAAGCAAATGGAAAACAAACGAACAAAAAAAGCAGGGGTTGCAATCCTAGTCTCTGATAAAACAGACCTTAAACCAACAAAGATCAAAAAAGACAATGAAGGGCATTACATATGGTAAAGGAATCAATACAATGAGAATAGCTAACTGTCATAAACATATATGCACCCAATGCAGGAGCACCTAGATTTATAAAGCCAGTTGTCCTATCCATGAGAATGAAACGTTTTCCTATTTGTTTGTGTCCTTTTTTAATTCCTTGAGCAGTATTTGCAGTTCTCCTTGAAGAGGTTCTTCACATCCCTTTAAGTTGTATTCCTAGGTATATTACTCTCTTTGTAGCAACTGTGATCGGGAATTTACTCATGATTTGGCTCTCTGTTATTGGTGTATAGGAATGCTTGTGATTTTTGCACATTGATTTTTGTATCCTGAGACTGCTGAAGTTGCAAACTGCCCAAAGTAATTTATAGATTCATTGTTATCCCCATCAAGCCACCATCGACTTTCTTTACAGAAAATTAGAAAAAACTACTTTAAATTATATATGGAACCAAAAAAGAGCCCATGGAGCTAAGACAATCCTAAGCAAAAAGAACAAAGCTGGAGCCATCACACTACCTGACTTCAAACTATACTACAAGGGTACAGTAACCAAAACAGCATGGTGCTGATACCAAAACAGATATATAGACCAATGGAACAGAACACAGGCCTCAGAAATAATGCCACACATCTGCAGAGATTTCTTTTTTCTTTTAATTTTTTTGAGATGGAGTCTTGCTCTGCTGCCCAGGCTGGAGTGTAATGCCATGGTCTCAATTCACTGCAACCTCCACCTCCTGGGTTCAAGTGATTCTTCTGCTTCAGCCTCCCAAATAGTTGGGATTACAGGTGCCTTCCACCACACCCAGATAATTTTGTATTTTTAGTAGAGACAGGGTTTCACTGTGTTCGCCAGGCTGGTCTTGAACTCATAACCTTGTGATCCACCCGCCTTGGTCTCTCACAGTGCTGGGATTACAGGCATGAGCCTGTAATGCCACACATCTACAACTATCTGATCTTTTACAAACCTGACAAAAACAAGCAATGGGGAAAGGATTCTCTATTTAATAAATGGTGTTGGGAAAACTGGCTAGCCACATGCAGAAAATTAAAGCTGAATCCCTTCCTTAAACCTTATACAAAAATTAACTAAAGATGGATTAAAAACTTAAATGTAAGACCTAAAAAAAGTGGGCAAAAGACATTTATGTGCTCAAAAAACATATGAAAAAAAGCTCCTCATCACTGGTCATTAGAGAAATGCAAATCGAAACCAAAATGAGATACCATCTCATACCAGTTAGGTGATCATTAAAAAGTCAGGGAAACAACAGATGCTGGAGAGACTGTGGAGAAATAGGAATGCTTTTACACTCTTGTGTGTGTAAATTAGTTCAACCATTGTGGAAGACAGTGTGGCCATTTCTCAAGGATCTAGAACTAGAAATACCATCTGACCCAGCAATTTATATATTTATATACCAAAAGATTATAAATCCTTTTATAAAAACACATGCACACGTATGTTTATTTTGGCACTGTTCACAATAGCAAAGACTTGGAACCAACCCAAATGCCCATCAGTGATAGACTGGATAAAGAACACGTGGAACATATACACCATGGAATACTATGCAGTCATAAAAAAGGATGAGTTCATGTCCTTTGCAGGGACATGGATGAAGCTGGAAACCATCATTCTCGGCAAACTGACACAAGAACAGAAAATCAAACACCATGTGTTCTCATTCACAAGTGAGAGTTGAACAATGAGAACACATGAACACAGGGACACATCACACTCCAGGACCTGTCGGGGGCTGGAGCATAGGGGAGGGATAGCATTAGGAAAAATACCTAATGTAGATGATGGGTGGATGGGTGCAGCAAACCACTATGGCACATTTATATCTACGTAACAAACCTGCACGTTCTGCACATGTATCCCAGAAACTAAAATATAATAAAAAAGCAAAAAAAAAAAAAAAAAAAGACAAGGGGAAAATTAAATATAGACTGGATATTAAGTGATATTAGGGAATTATTGCTAATTGTCTTAGGTGTGTAAAGTAACATGATATTGTAAGAGAATGTACTTACTTTTAAGAGCTGCATGCTGAAGAATTTAGAATTGAAGGGGATTGATGTCTGCAACTTACTTTCAAATGGCTAGGGGCCAGCTACGGTGGCTCATGCCTGTGATCCTGGCACTTTGGGAAGTCCAGGCAGCAAATCACCTGAGGTCAGGACTCAGAGACCAGCCTGGCAAACATGGGGAAATCCTGTCTCTACTAAAAATACAAAAAAAAATTAGCCAGGCATGGTGGCAGGCACCTGTAATCCCAGATACTTGGGAGGCTGAGGCGGGAGAATCACTTGAATCCAGGAGGCAGAGGTTGCAGTGAGCTGAGATTGCGCCATTGCACCCCAGCCTAGGCAACAAGAGTGCAATGCCATCTCATTTTAAAAAAAAACACAACCTTGCAGGAAAAAGTACAGAAAAGACCATAAGTCATATACAGACATGACTGAAATGAAATAATATAAACAATAATATAAACATTTCCTTATATTTGTACAGAGGCAGTTTCAGGTAGTAATGAAGATTCTGGAGCCAGACTGCCAGTGTTCAGAGTGAAGCTCTGTCACAGCCGGCTGGCTGTATTCCCCCGGGCATGTTCCTCTTCTTTGCTGCGCTTCACGTGACCCCAGTCTGGAAAATTTTGTCTGATGACATTTTAATAATTATTAAATCCATTCTTGTAGGTAGATAGAAATTTTTTTTTTTTTTTTTTTTTTTTTTTTTGAGACGGAGTTTTGCTCTTGTCACCCAGGCTGGAGTGCAATGGCGCGATCTTGGCTCACCGCAACCTCCGCCTCCTGGGTTCAGGCAATTCTCCTGCCTCAGCCTCCTGAGTAGCTGGGATTACAGGCACGCACCACCGTGCCCAGCTAATTTTTTGTAATTTTTAGTAGAGACGGGGTTTCACCATGTTGACCAGGATGGTCTCGATCTGTTGACCTCGTGATCCACCCGCCTCGGCCTCCCAAAGTGCTGGGATTACAGGCTTGAGCCACCGCGCCCGGCCGGTAGATAGAAATTTTTATGGTACATTTTATAATACTTTGGTTTTGGTTTTCAAACACATACATATCTCATTCCTATACACTATACAGTATGTTTAGATAGGGTCATTGAATAAAATGCATTTGATAGTCAAAAATATAAAATTCTATGTCATAGACACTCTACATCTGTCAATCACAAAATGTGTACAAGAATATTCATAATAATACTATTCTTAATCAAAAAAATATTGGAAAGAAGCCCAAATTTATCCACAATAGAATAGATACATGTCTTGATGTAGATGCATGGAATGGAATATAATTCAGGCCTGAAAACTTAATAAAGTGCTCACAAAATACCATAAATTAATCCCAGGATCCTAATCCTTAAACAAAAGATCAAATCACAGGATAATGCAGACAAAATCCTACCTGTACAAAGTACAAGGCTTTGAAACCGAAATGTCATTTAGCTCAGGGAATCTAACATATGTGATAAAAACAAAGGAAAAAAGAATGATGGACTCATTGTTTAGAATTGTATTTACCTCGGAATGAAGGAGAAAGAGTATGGGCCAGGGCGGGAGCTCACGGAGGGTTTCAAAATTAGTGGCAATAAATTTTATTACATTTTTTGTAAGCAGTTGCTACTTAATGTCCGTAATTCATAAAAGAACACAAACATTTGGAATCTTAATTTTGAAATTAAATAGCTATATAATGCTGTAAATTTTATAAAATAACTAGCATATGCCACCTTTCAGTAAATAAAATAAAACTGTTGTAGTCATGTATTTGATAGCAGAAATGGACCTACATTTTTTCCCACTTAAAAGACTTTTTACCTCTTCCCATCAGTTAAGCAGGTTGGGAATGCTCACACGGCATTGTATCCAGTAGCTGCTGGGTGCTGGAAAAGTTGTCAGAACAAAAAAAAAAAAAGAAGAAGAAAGGAAGAGATATCAATTTTACACATTTCTTGAAGGGGAAAAGATACAATATAATAGATTATAAAGAACTATAAATAAGGTCTTCTGATTTATAAAATTCTGTAAATTAAATGTCAAATATAAAAAGAGCACTCAGGTAAATGTGCCATAGTAAAAAACTCTACATAAAAAACAAACTACTACACTCTAATAAATATTGGTTCTTCTGAATAAAGTGGAATTAATTACTGTGGAGATCAACAACTTCTGATTTTTTAGAAAATTATAGTTTAAGTTCTGGGGTACATGCAGGTTTATTACACAGATATACATGTGTCATGGCGGTTTCCATCTCCTAATGCTATCCCTCCCCTGGCCCCCCACCCGCTGACAGGCCCTGGTGTGTGATGTTCCCTCCCTGTGTCCATGTGTTCTCATTGTTCAGTTCCCACTTATGAGTGAGAACATGTGGTGTTTTATTTTCTGTTCTCGAGTCAGTTTGCCAAGAATGATGGTTTCCAGCTTCATCCATGTCCCTGCAAAGAACATGAACTCATCCTTTTTATGGCTAAATAGTATTCCATGGTATATATGTTCCACATGTTCTTTTTCTTTTTTTTGAGACGGAGTTTTGCTCTTGATACCCAGGCTGGAGTACAATGGCACGATCTCGGCTCACCGCAACCTCTGCCTCCTGGATTCAGGCAATTCTCCTGCCTCAGCCTCCTGAGTAGCTGGTATTACAGGCACGCACCACCATGCCCAGCTAATTTTTTGTATTTTTAGTAGAGACGGGGTTTCACCATGTTGACCAGGGTGGTCTCGATCTCTTGACCTCATGCTCCACCCACCTCGGCCTCCCAAAGTGGTGGGATTACAGGTGTGAGCCACCATGCCCGGCCTCCACATGTTCTTTATCCAGTCTATCATTGATGGGCATTTGGGTTGGTTCCGGGTCTTTGCTATTGTAAACTGTGCTGCAATGAACATTCGTGTGCATGTGTCTTTATAGTAGAAGGATTTATAATCCTTTGGGTATACCCAGTAATGTAATTGCTGGGTCAAATGGAATTTCTAGTCTAGATCCTCAAGGAATCGCACACTGTCTTCCACAATGGTTGAATTAATTTACACTCCCACCAACAGTGTAAAAGTGTTCTTATTTCTTCACATCGTCTCCAGCATCTGTTGTTTCCTGACTTTTTAATGATCGTCCTTCTAATTGGGGTGAGATGGTATCTCATTGTTGTTTTGATTTGCATTTCTCTAATGACCAGTGACAAGGAGCTTTTTTTTATATGTTTCTTGGCCACATGAATGTCTTCTTTTAAGAAGTGTCTGTTCATATCCTTCACCCACTTTTTGATGGGGTTGTTTTTTCTTGTAAATTTATTTAACTGTAAATTTATGTAAGTTCTTTGTAGATTCTGGATCTTAGACCTTTGTCAGAGGGATAGATTACAAAAACTTTCTCCCATTCTGTAGGTTGCCTGTTTACCCTGGTGATTGTTTCTTCTGCTGTGCAGAAGCTCTTTAGTTTAATTAGATCCCATTTGTCCATTTTGGCTTTTGTTGCCAGTGCTTTTGGTGTTTTAGTCATGAAGTCTTTGCTCATGCCTATGTCCTGAATGGTATTGCCCAGGTTTTCTTCTAGGGATTTTTTAGTTTTAGGTCTTACATTTAAGTCTTTAATCCATCCTGAGTTAATTTTTGTGTAAGGTTTAAGAAAGGGGTCCAGTTTTAGCTTCCTGCATATAGTCTGGGAAATTTTGCCTGATGACATTTTAATAATTATTAAATCTAGAAGGTATACAAAAAAAGAGCACTATGGAGAATAGTGATGGGCAGTCAAGGTTCAGCCTCTCCCGGTAGAACACAGCCGAAGAAGTTGTAGAGGAAAGACCTAAAGTATTTGTTGTCTCATTCATTCTTTCATCGTTATTAAAACCTGTATATGTCAGATGATGTAAAAAACGGAATGGAAAAGAGTAAAAACACTTCCTGTCTTCCCAGCTTCCTGGAGATGGCTCTGGACGTCTCAGAGCCCAAAACAAGGAGGAGGACTTTGCTGCGGGGATCGGGGAGAGAAGGGCATTCAAGACCAAGGGCAATGCAGAGGTGTGGAAAACTCTGCATTTGAGAAAACTCGGCTCCCTTCCAGAACTCCCGTACAAGGCTCGGGGTGACTGTGCATGGGAGGGCAGGGCATGATGGTCACTGGGCCTCAGAGTTTAGATTTTATTGTGCAGGCAAAGGATGCGCTGCAGGGTTGCAGCCCAGATGAGCAGTTATAACTGCTGACTTCACACCCACCACGTGTCCCGCACGGGCCCCGCCCATTGCACCTGTTCAGTTGTGTCACCCTTTCCACAGCCATATTGTATATAAATAGAAGTAAATGGCAGAGCCAGACGGAGGGACTTTCCATGGCACCCTACTGGAAGCAGGAATCCATGTGGCTGCAGAACACACACTGTTAACACCCCAGCTGGCCAGCAGCCTTGCCCTCACCTGGGAGCCTCTTAGCGATGCGAAATTCCAGGGCCCACCACAGATCCAGGGACTCAGAATCTGCCTTTTAAGTTGATCTCCCCGAGATTCCTACACACCAGAAGGGCTGGTCGAGTAGGTCACTCCGACCGCCAGAAGGATGGCCTGAGGCGGGGCGGTGTCTGGGAATCAGCAAGACCAGGTGGAGGACAGTGCGCTGCGGCGGGATTAGGGGATTGGGCCGCGGCCACGTGCTGCCATGTGCTGAAGCCCCCTTCTCCCTCCCGCGGGCCTCCTGTCCGTATCTGGACTGCACGCTTCTTAGGAATGGCCGGGTCCGCCCTCAGGCAACCCCACAGGTCAGCATGGTGGTGTCCATCCTCCAGAGGCCAGTGTGTACGGGCTGACTCAGTGCTTCGCGCATGGATTATGAACTCCAGCCCTGGAGCCTTGA